ATTCTTTGTCAGGAAGACTGGTTAGGTCTGTCTCCTTCTCTGGTGTCTCTGTGATCTTGGTTTGCCTGTAATTTTGTCTTTTCATGGTGATAGGAATAGGTTGCAGAGCTGGGATTAGTGACGGCTGGAAGAACTTCCCTTCTTGTTGGTTTGTGGCCTTCCTCTCCTGGGGGAATACCAACCTCTAGTGGCTTGTGCTGGGTAGCTGCATGCAGACAGGGCTTCTACTTCCTGCCGGGCTGCTAAGGAGTTTATCTCTGCTGTTGCTGTGGGCGTGACCTGGCTCGGGCTGCTGCTCCAAAGTGGTGGAGTTGAATTGGGCGGGGAGTGGCCAGAGGCTATTTATCTCCGTAAGGGGCCTCCATGCTCCCTGCAGCCCAGGGAATTAGAGTGCCCAGAGATCCCCAGATTCCCTACATGTGGACTAAGTGTCCCACCCTGCCCCTTTAAGACTTCCAAAAAGCACCCGCCAAAACAAAACGACCACAGAAAAAAAAAATGGCCACTCGTTTTTCTTTATTCTCCGGCACCAGTCTCTGGCACCCGCTCACCGGTCTTGCTGCCCTGTTTCTCTAGTATTGGGGTCCCTATCCCTTTAAGACTTCCAAAAAGCCCTCACCAAAACAAAACAACAACAACAACAACAAAAATGACCACTCGCTTTTCTTTTGTTCTCCGGCCCCGGCCTCCAATACCCGCTCGCTGGTCTTGCTGCCCTGTTTCCCTAGTACTAGGGTCCCTGTCCCTTTAAGACTTCCAAAAAGCACTCGCCACAACAAAACAACAACAACAACAAAAAAAAAAACCAGGTGGCCGCTCGCTTTTCTTTTGTTCTCCACCGCTGGTCTCTGATACCCACTTGCCAGTCTTGCTGCCCTGTTTCCCTAGTATTCGGGTCCCTGTCCCTTTAAGACTTCCAAAAAGCACTCACCACAACAAAACAACAACAACAACAACAACAAAAAGATGGCCGCTCGCTTTTCTTTTGTCCTCTGGCGCCGGCCTCCAGTACCCGCTCACCATTCTTGCTGCCCTGTTTTCCTAGTCTCCAGGGCCCCGTGCATGCACTGTGTCTGCGCTCTGGTCTGGACGGCTGGGGCTAGGTGTTCAGCAGTCCTGGGCTCCCTCTCCCTCCCACTCTGACTCCTCTCCTTGCACCAGGAGCTGGGGGGAGGGGTGCTCGGGACCCGCCAGGCCGGGGTTTGTATCTTACCCCCTTTTGCGAGGCGGTTGGTTCTCGCAGGTGTGGATGTGGTCTGGATGTTGTCCTGTGTCCTCTGGTCTTTATTCTAGGAAGAGTTGTCTTTGTTTTATTTTCATAGATATATGAGGTTTCGGGAGGAGATTTCCACTGCCCTACTCACACCACCATCTTGGCTCCACCCCTCGACCTGTAACAATTGTTTTTATCACCATACTTATTGTGATCATCAAAAAGTATTTGAGATGCTTAATGTGTGTTACTATTATCTTTTTTAAAACTGTGCAAAGCAAAATAAGTTGGCTAATATCTCACCTGTAAGACTTTAAAATATAGAAAAGTTTATACAGATGAACATAAAGGTCATCCAGACAGCTGGGCAAACATCTGACAGAAATGTACTATATATTGTCTTAAGAGTATGTATATACATTGGATGAGTCTACATTGGACCAAGTGGAAGATGAATCATGAGCTACCATGGCAGAAAGAGGGATCTTTATTTTCTTCTTAAGAACTTTGTTGTATCCAGATAACCACTGAACAGACTTTGGGCATATAAATAAAAGGAAGAAGTAACATTGATGTTCAGTAAAAGGAAGGAAAGTGTTCTAGCCCATCACATACTTCCTCTACCTGATGGCACCTAACATTCTTTTATCTGTTTAGTGCAAATACATGTGTGAAAAATGTCACTAAATGTGTGCATACTGAGTGGATAAAGAGAAGGGGATTTGTATTCTAGTGGCTTGGAAATAAACCAGGCTTGCACAGGGCATCATAACATATTTTTTGAGTTTGAACAGATAGTTTCTCAATTTATTTTCCAGTCACTAGTATATAAATCCTCCTAACACCTTTTGGATATTGAAGGTAGAGAAACACTTTTATTACATTTGAATCTCTAGAAGTACATTAGATACAGTGTATTTAACTAAAATTTGAAAGTACTCCAATTAGGCATTTCACAAACATCTAAAAGAGACTTTACCCATTAAAAGCTTGGACTTTGTCAGTGCTAATTTTGGGGGGCCCCTTTTGCTCTTCTCTTGATTTTAGATGAATGAACCATTTTGCTATAAAAATGTAGTATAAATTAACTGCGTCAAAGCACTTTTCTCAAGATAGGACATCCAGCCATGAAAAGGTATTAACTGAAGTCATTTAATCATTTGTGTCATAATTCTATTACTAGCCATTTCTCTATACCTCTTTTAATTTTACACTACAGTTTTACTAATATGGTAGCCACTGGTCATATGTTACTATTGCTTACTTGAATTGTGATTAGTGCATCTGAGGAGCTAAATTTTTACTTTTATTTACTTTTAACTAATATAAATTTAAAATTAGCAATCAATTCAATTATTGGAAAATCTGTAGGCATGTTTGGAGCAACTTGGGCATGTATATCTGCTTTTTCAACTGCAAACTTTTTTATCCTTTTTGTTAATGTGGTATATACTGATTGATTTATGAATATTATACCATTCTTGCATCCCTGGAATAAATCCCACTTGGTCATGATGGATGATCCTTTTGATGTATTTTTGAATTTGGCTTGCTAATATTTTGTTGAGGATTTTTTCATCTATATTCCTCAGGGATATTGGTCTTTAATTTTCTCTTTTTGTAGTGCCTTTGTCTCATTTTGGTATTAGAGTGATGCTTGCCTCATAGAATGAGTTTGGAAGTGTTCCCTCCTCTTCTACTTTTTGGAAAACTTTATGGAGGATGGGTATCAGCTCTTCTTTAAATGTTTGGTAGAATTCCCCTGTGAAGCCATATGGTTTTGGACTTTTGTTTGTTGGGAGTTTTTTGATTACCAGTTCAATTTTGTTACTTATAATTGGTCTGTTCAGAGTTTCTGTTTCTCCCTGCATCAGTCTTGGAAGATTGTACATTTCTAGGAATTTGTCCATTTTGAAACTGATTTTTATACTTGAGCCCTGCAAGAGTGCGTCATCCATCCCAGCTGATTTTAATTTCTAGCTAAGGCCCCATTACCTCCAGATCAATGGCTTATTTGACTCACTTGACTTTTTTACAGGAGAATTATTTAACCTTCAAAGCATATGTTATTTAACCTTCAAAACACATATATGTATGTGTGTTAACTCTTAATCTCTCAAACATTCAACCCATGTCTAAGGGTTAGACCGATGGCTGTGAAGATTGGGTGGAGAGAAGTGGCATGGAAGTGATAAGAGTAGGAAAAACAGAATTTGTGAGGGTGGGGAGATTTAAAAAATCATGTATTAGACTTTTTCATGATAATACATAAATTCCCTGTCTACCCTTTTCTCACAACCACCCACAACTGGAGATGTCAGTCTCTCAGCTCAGAAGCATAGTGATAGTGAGCCATCATCACCTGTGGGAGGATGCTGCCTTTCTCAGATGTGTTGTTGAAGAACAAAGGCTTTTGTCATAGCCAGCCTCCATGATGGCCCCCACTGATGCCTGCCTCCTCCTGCTCACATCCTGTGGAGTCTCTTCCCACTTTTACCAACGAAATATACCAGAAGTGACCGTATGTCACTTCTGAGGTTAGATTTTAAAAGACTGCAACTTCTGTCTTGGGTTCGCTCTTTGGATCACTCACTTTGGGGTAAGCTTCATCATGAGCAGCCCATGGAAAGGCCCTGGAAACGGGGAGGAACTGAAATCTTCTTCCTTGAGTATGCCTGGAAGAAGATCCTTTAGACCCAGGAAGACCTCTGATAACTGCAGCTGCAGCTCACATCTTGACTTCAGCCTAGTGAGAGGTCAAAGACTGAACCACCCAGCTAAACTGTGGTCATATTCCTGACCTAAAGAAACTATGAGATAATGTTTCCTGTTTTAAGTGGCTAAGTTTGGTGTGATTTATTATACAGCAGTAGGTCACTAAACCAGTAATAAATACTTGGTTAGACCAAAAACTAGACAAAATTCTTCTATTTTGAAAGTGACATTCTTAAAATCATACTGGAACATCCAAAATATATAAAGAGCTCACGCACCTCAACAAACAAAAAGCAAATAATTCAATTAAAAAATGGGCAGAGGGGCTGAACAGACACTTCTCCAAGGAAGAAATTCAGATGTCCAACAGACACATGAAAAGATGCTCCACATCGCTTGTCATCAGAGAAATGCAAATTAAAACCACAACGAGATATCACCTCACACCAGTAAGGGTTACCACCATCCAAAAGACAAACAACAACAGATGCAGGAGAGGTTGTGGAGAAAGGGGAACCCTCCTACACTGCTGGTGGGAATATAAATTAGTTCAACCATTGTGGAAAGCAGTATGGAGGTTCCTCAAAAAGCCCAAAATAGAAATACCATTTGACTGAGGAATTCCACTCCTGGGAATTTACCCTAAGGATGCAGCAGCCCAGTTTGAAAAAGACATATGCACCCCTATGTTTATCACAGCACTATTTATAATAGCCAAGAAATGGAAGCAACCTAAGTGTCCATCAGTAGATGAATCGATCAAGAAGAGGTGGTACATATACACAATGGAATATTATTCAGCCATAAGAAGAAAACAAATCCAACCATTTGCAACAAAATGGATGGAGCTAGAGGGTATTATGCTCAGTGAAATAAGCCAGGCAGAGAAAGACAAGTACCAAATGATTTCACTCATCTGTGGAGCATAAGAACAAAGAAAAAAACTGAAGGAACAAAACAGCAGCAGACTCACAGAACCCAAGAATGGACTAACAATTACCAAAGGGAAAGGGACTGGGGAGGATGGGTGACAAAGGAGGGATAAGGGGAAAAAAGGGGGGGGAGAAATTACTATTAGCACACATAATGTAGGTGGGGTATGGGGAGGGCTGTATAACACAAAGAAGACAAGTAGTGATTCTATAGCATCTTATTATGCTGATGGACAATGACTGTAATGGGGTATGTGGGGGGGACTTGAGGAAGGGGGGAGTCTATTAAACATAATGTTGCTCATGTAATTGTAGATTAATGATACCAAAATAAAAAATAAATAAGCAAATAAAATTTTAAAAAGTCATATTGGAGTATGGTCTGTATATAATCAGCTTTGACAATTGAAATACTGTATTTATTTTTACTATAATTTACCAAATTATGAAAAATTTGGTTGAATGAGTTAACTTATTATTATAAAATGAGATTAACATTGTGAGTGGTAGCCAAATTTTAAATGTATTTTTCAACCTGCTTTATTTCAAAAATTTTTGAACTGACATAGCTATATATTTTACAGCCAGATGTGAAAACTTGATAAATCTTTCAACTGATAAGTAGGGCCACCTAAGTGCAAAGAATTGATTATGCACAACTTATTTATTTTTTATTTGACATATCATTGATATGTAATCTTATATTGGTTTCAAGTATACAACTCATATTATTAAATACTCACCCCAACTAGTGCAGTTACTGTCTGTCAACATAGGAAGATGTTACAGAATCATTGACTATATTCTCCATGCTGTACTACCATCCCTGTAACCAACTTATATTATGATTGACAATTTTTGTGACCCTTTATCTTCCTCACCCTCCCCACCCACCCGAAACCCCTCCCCCATGGTAACAACTAGCATGACTTTTTTAATGAAACAAATAAAATATAACTTTTTGTAGGGCTTAGAAACAGTGAATTAAAAGTAGTGTTTGAAAATATAAATTAAAAAGCAATAAAGTCGAGGGAGAAGCCAAGATGGCAGCATGAGAAGAGCAGTGGAAATCTCCTCCCAAAACCATATATATTTTTGAAAATACAACAAATAAAACTATTCCTAAAAGAGAGACCAGAAGATACAGCACAACAGCCAGACTACTTCTACACCTGCAATAACCCAGCACCTCATGAAGGGGGTAAAATACAAGCCACGGCCTGGCAGGACCTGAGCGCACCCCTCACCCCAGCTACCTGGCGAGAGGAGAGGAGTCAGAGCGGGGAGGGAGAGGAAGCCCAGGACTGCTAAATACCCAGCCCTAGCCATCCACACCGGGAGCGCAGACACACAGTGTGTGGTGTGCTGGATACTAGGGAAACGGAACAGTAAGACCTGTGAGCGGGTCTCCACAGATGGCGCCCCTGGGACAAAAGAAAAGCAAGTGCCTTTTGAAAGTCTTAAAGGGACAGAGGCCTCACAGCTGAACAGAAGCATCCCAGTGCACTCAGCCCAGCAGCTGGGAATCCCGGGGAACCCCGGGCAGCCTAATCCCCTGGGCGGCAGTGCAGCTTGGAGGCTCCTCACAGCGATAAACAGCCTCCCAGCTGTTCCCCCTCCAGCGCGGCCTTGCCAGGCAGAGCAGCAATCTGAGGCTGGCCACGCCCACAGCAGCTGCGCAGAGCCGCCTCCGCAGTCACTGGGCCAGTCTCAGAGATCCCGTCAGCACAAGGCTGCCCAGCACAAGCCACTAGGGGTCGCCATTCTCACAAGAGAGTAAGGCCACAAACTAGCAAGAAGGGATGTTCTCCCAGCTGACACACATGCCTACTCCCCACAACTACCTCTATCGCCATGAAAAGGCAGAAGAATTTGAACCAGACCAGACTAACAGAGACAACCCTTGAGAAGGAGCTTGGGGAGATAGACCTAACCAATCTTCCAGAAAAAGAATTCAAAATAAAGGTCATAACCATGCTGATGGAGCTGCAGAGAAAAATGCAAGAGCCAACTGACAAAGTAGGGAGGGAGACTACAGAAATAAAACAATCTCTGGAAGGACTTAAAAGCAGAATGGACAAGATGCAAGAGGCCATTAATGGATTAGAAACCAGAGAACAGGAACGAAGAGAAGCTCACACAGACAGAGATAAAAGGATCTACAGAAATGAAACAATATTAAGAGAACTGTGTGACCAATCCAAAAGGAACAATATCCACATTATAGGGGTACCAGAAGAAGAAAAAGAGAGAGAAAA